AAGGATCTGTAAAAAGGAATGACGCTTCTAATGCACGTAAATTTATTGAGCTACCTCTCTTTTCATAGTCAAGTATATAATAGAATTGACACCACAGTTGAATACTAGCACGGCAGATGTGATTACATAAGCTTCTGCAGCTTGAATACCTATTGCGGGGAAGGAGAAGAACGTCACCCATACGATTGCATAAGAGACGAACATCAGAAAAAATTGTATGAAGCACCTGAAATTAATGATAAATGAAGGTATCGTCCCCTAAAAGGAAAAAAAAGTTTGACCTTATTTCTTTTCTGGAAGCAGCATTATGAGCACGAACTCTCTTCATTACAAAGGCAATCAGCTATAATATAGAAATTATGGATAAGAATAAAACTATATTGGATTCATGTTATTTCATAGAACAGTAACTTACAGCAATGTATGAGATTCCACTGCAAACAGATACCACAATGTCAATTCCTATACTAATGATATAGGCCGAGTTTCTCACTCCATCGATCAGATAGTAAGAATAGCCAAAGTAGCGGTGATCAGGAGTGATTCTTAAAATTTGGGTCCTTTTTGAAGACTATTGTACGGTGACATATAATTACCTGCAGCAAGGAGTTACTAACTGATGATAGATAGTCAAAATCAAGGCTACAAAAAATGTCATAGCCATGTATTTTAGGGTTTTGCGTCGGGTCGAGAAAAGATTGCACCATGGAAAGCATATAACAATCAGCCTTCAATAGTAGACATTTTAACATTTTGCATAATATTCAACTTTTTTTTTACTCGTATAGATATAATGTGAGGCGTTACCCATTTCAAACCAGTATTTCAATGAGAAAAACTTTTAGGAATAAAGAATACCTGTTTGTTGAAAATAAAATTTGGATTAGTGATGAGAGGAACCAGAATCCAATAAAAAACACGGCCACTATAGTGACACCTAACGAGTCCTGCCCAGCAAAAAACCAGTTCTTAATAAAATCTCATTATATTGAACTTTTATATTATGTTAGAACAAGTCTTTCAAGTCATGTATAGCAGGTGCTTTTGATGGTTTTGATTGTTGAAAAGGCTCAACAACTCACTCCAGTGATGATTGAAGGCCCGACATAGAGCGCATGTAATGCTAGCTGGCCAATGTCACAACATATGTTAAAGGTTGCCAGCAGATACACAGAGTTATCCTTGTTATAGCAAAGTCGACCTGGAATCAACTAAAGATCCTTACTTCCTCTCCCTATTACTCCAAGTTACTGTAAGCCTTAGTATTGTAGATTAATAATGACATCGCAATGCTGCATTTACAGCTTACAATTAGAGCAAACACCAGAAACATCAACTTCCACGCTCTTCTAAAAATTCAAAGTGCATCAACTTTCACATGACGCTCTGCAGGTGACCAAGATGACGGACGTAGGAAGCTGAGCGATGGTACGCTCGAATTTGTTGTAAAAACGTTGCATCACAAAGCGTTAACTTTGGATTTTTCCAACACCCATTTGGTCTATTTGGTAGACTTGTATGAGAACCTATCAGATGGACAACAAATGGGTGTTGGAAAAAAAA